CCCCGCGCGTCTTCGGCGCTCTCCTCTCCTCCTCCTCATCCTCCTCCTCCTCCTCCTCCTCTTTCTCCTCCTCCTCTTCTTCCTCCTCCTCCTCCTCCTCCTCTTCCTCCTCCTCCTCCTCCTCCTCCTCCTCGTCATCCTCGTCCTCGTCGTCTGGCGCCTCTTCTTTCTCTCGCGAGCTTGCCGCCTCGGGTCGCATTGAACCTCGTGGGGCGCCCCCTGGCAAACCTCCGACGCCGTCGTTCCCTACAGAACTCCGACGCGGTGCTTGTTTCACAGCGCTGCTCTGGCGCTTCGTTCTAAGCCGTGTCTTGACGGCCTCATTCGCAGTGTTCTGTCCACGCCGCGAGGACGTCGAGATCTCCCGGCCCTCCGACGCCGTGCCTTCTGCCGACGAGGTGCGCCTGGGAGCCCCCGAAAACCCAAGCCCGGAGACTATAGCCCTGCGCCGCGGGCCGACCTCTGACTTGCCCGCCAGAGGGGCCCCTGGAGGCCGTCTGCAGAAGAGCAGGCCTGGCCAGCGGGCGCAGAACAGGCCCAGACCTCCGACGTCGTGAGTTGTCCACCACTGAAGGGGCCCTGGGACACACAAATAAATACACACAAATGAAAGGATTCCCCATATGTTCCTATATTATCTGGGTTTTTTCTTCCCCCCACTTCCCATATTTTCCCATATTTTCCTAGGAATGGACGATTAATTGTGTCTGTATGTTTTCACGCGGTCCCCAGAGTAGACCCCTTCTCTGGGACCGGCTGGTGGGGACGGCGGCCGCAGGGTGGAGGAGCAGGAGAGGCTCGACGCGCGCGGCCTTGCGTGCGCGGGATGGCCGCGGCCGAAGGTGCAGAACAACACCCGTCGCTTTGTTTCTTCTCCCGCGCCCAGAAGTCCGCAGGCATCCTTCCCTGCGCAGGCCTGGGCCCCTTCCTAGGAGCGGCTTCTCTTCCCGACCTGTTCTTGGCGGCCCCACGGGCCCGCCGAAGAACCCCAGAGGCAGAAGCCGGGCACCTCTTGAGCAGGGACCGACCGTCCCGGCATTCCTACAGCCCTACCACGAAGTGTTCTTAGAACCAAAAAGTGTTCTGAGAACAGAAACAATGTTATTAGAACATAAGCCCGATGTGCTAACACAAAACTGACTCCGCCAGAAATGTTCTGAGAACAGCTCGTGGGAACCACAAAAAAAGGTCCTCAGAACATTGTTTGGTAGAGCTATAGGCGAGCCCGGACGCTTCGCCACTGCTCGAATCTCTGCGCGGCGCGAGGCATGTCTGGGGACGCCTGGCCGGCGGCGTCTCTGCGGGGGCGAGCGGCGGTGCCAAAGAGGCCCGCCTGGGCCAGCGCGTCGTGCCTGTCCATCTCCGCCCTGGGCGGCGGCCCTGCCTCCTCCGGGGGGCCGGGCGGGCGACGAGGAGGGCGGCAGAGACAAGGGTGCCCCGACACCCGACGTCGTCTTGAGCGAGAGAAGGCATGGGCGGACAGCGTGCTTCAGAAGCCAGCGTCAAAACTGGGATGCCGCCACGCACCGAAGGCCAGGCCTGAAGACATCTTTGCACGGCTGGGGCAGCACGGCACAAACGAGACCTGGCGTCGGTGTTTGTCACAGGGCGTTGGCCCCACCAAAATTTCTGGGACCCTTCCCGGCCAGGATCGGCGACACATCCTTCGAGTCGTGTTCTTGACGGTCCCTGGGGCCCGGAAAACCTCTCGCCGTGATTTCTACAGGACGCAAGATGTCGGGTGTCCTGGGCCATGGGGGAGGGAATGGAGGAGTCAGAAGACCCTGACCTCGTTGATCTTTTGGAGAGCGACACTGATGGAGCCTGCTTCTGCCATGGCCGTCTTCGGCCTGTGCCGCAGGGCCGTCCAAAAAACACGACCTCTGCCCCTGAGCCCAGCAATCATCGGACCGCAGGGGGGCGAGGAGCAGGAGGAGCAGGATAAGCAGGGGAAGAAAGAGGAGGAGGAGGAGGTGGAGAAGAAGAAAGAGGAGGAGAAAGAGGAAGAGGAGGAGGAGAAGGAGGAGGGGGAGGGGGAGTGGCAGGAGAAGGAGGAGGCACGAGCGGGGAGCGCGAGGGCGCGAGGCCTCACCAGCTCCTCCGGTGACTTGGCTCCCCCTCTGGCCGCCTGCCCACATGGGCGCGCGGCGAGGGGCCGTCGCGGAAGCGGTCGGCTGGCAGGAGGTGGCTCAGGCCGCCCCCGGGGTCGGGCACCCCGAAGACGACGGACTTCTGGCCAGCGTCCGTACCCTGATGCTCTCGCGTCGGGGCAACAGTGTGCGACACGTGTGTGTGTGTGTGTGTGTGTGTGTGTGTGTGTGTGTGTGTGTGTGTGTGTGTGTGTGTGTGTGTGTGTGTGTGTGTGTGTGTGTGTGTGTGTGCGTGTGCGTGCGTGCGTGCGTGCGTGCGTGCGTGCGTGCGTGCGTGCGTGCGTGCGTGCGTGCGTGCGTGCGTGCGTGCGTGCGTGCGTGCGTGCGTGCGTGCGTGCGTGTGTGTGTGTGTGGGTGGGTGGGTGGGGGGGCAAAATTTGGACTCTGGGGGCCCTGACCAGGGTCAAAGCACGACTCAGGATGAAAAGACTGTCCTCGGGAAGGGGTTCAGATCAAGGCTGGCCAAATTCTGAAGCTCCATGGCGTCGGATGTCTGGATATACGCCGTGGCTCGACAAACGAATTGGCCAAGACGGGCGGCCAAAAACGGACGCCGGCCCAGCACCAGACGACGGCCTGTCATCGGCGGGCGCCACGCAAGTCTCGCGCCGCTCAACGACCCGCGAAATCAGAAGACCATCGCAGCCCTCCTCTGTGGGCTGGGCGGGGGGGGGATCATACGCTGACCCCCTGGCCCCCGAGGTGCTGGCAGCCGGGCCCCGCGCCCGGGCGCCAAGAGCCCGGGCAGGCTCTCAGCAGCACGGCTGCGGGCTTAGCCTCCAACTCCCTGACCTTCCCCCTCCCAGATCTGTACTCCGCTTGGCCGAATCATCGCAGGGTTTGTGAGCATCAATGCGCCTCGGAGGACCTACCCTGAGGAGCAGTCGCAGAGGAGTCCAGGCCCAACACCCAAACGGAAATCCACCACGCACAGCAGCATTCCGATGCATGCGACGTCTTGGACACATCAGGACGGGACTTGTTCGTCGCTCTCGGTCCACGGGGGCCCTCACCAGGCCCCAGGGCAGTCGAAAAGTGACTCAAAATAAAGACCTGGTCCTGGGGAGACGGTCGGGACTTCCAGGGACCACGTCGTCGAACAAATCGCACCATCGCATGTTCAGGCCTCCTCCCAGCAGCAGCAGGTCCCCACGATCCGACGGCGGCGGAAAGGATTGGGGCCCCAGGCGGCGGACGCGCCGCGGAAAAACGAGGCATCGTGTGGGATCCCGACAGGAACCCTCGACCCCAAGTTCGGAGCCGGATGTGCACTTCCGTGCTCCGCCCCCCACGTTCAAGAACTTCATGCTCTGAGCGTGCCATGTTCCTGCTCCGCGTGCCCGCTCTGCTCCCGCTCCTGTTGTGCCCAAGTAGGCCCCGCAGTGTCCCTCGGCTGCCTTCGAACGCGGCGTGGAGCCACGCCGCTGCGACCCAACAAACTGGAGCCAAATCGGTCTGCGATCCAGAGATTCAAGGAACTTGGCTGTGTCAATCCGGGGACCTCAGAGAATCTCGACCGCCTCCTTGGGACCGGCTTGCCATCTTGCTAAATCTTTGACGGCCACGGGGCCCAGCGAGCTCCATGGACAGAGGCCGACAAGTCAGGGCAAAAAACTCGTCTTGATTATCCAATGCGTTAAAAGTCTGGGCAGGGCCCCGGGGCGCGAAACTGGGCGAAAACGCCCGGTGTGAACGGCCGGCGCCCGGATCTTATGCGAGAACGGCGCCCATGCGTACCGCTCCGTGTCTGAGCGCGCCGCTCCAATGCGGCACGGCGCATCGTTTTGCGGCCCTGGAGGCAGCTGAAGAGCTGTGCACCGTACCTTGGCGGCGCGCACAAGGGGGCAGAGGAAGGAAGGCTCCTTGGGAGGCGGCTTCTCAAAGGTGCCAGCACTGCACCTACAGATAAGGCCCGCGCCTTCTAAGAAGCAGGGGTGCTTCGAAGTAGCCGTCTCCCCTCCCTCTACCCTGAGGCCGGGCATGTCCTCTCACAGGCGGATGTTCGAAGGAGGATGAACACTAGTTAAGCCATCATCAAACAGATCAGATTCAGAAGAGCACGAAACGTCGTCACCGCACTATTTTTCTCCTGCTCCCGATCTTTCCGCTTGTAGACTAGACGGGCATGCCCGACTTCACCCTGCCCCCCCTCTGCGCGTGGCCGACATTCCCGAGTCGAAGATCGGCGACACCCGGACACCGGGGCCCGAGCGGCGCACCGGCGGCGCGACGGCAGGGCGCGGGGGCACCCGGGCGGGGCCTCCGGCGTGGCGTCGCCGCCACCGTGGCCGCCGCCGTCGTCCTCCCTGTCCAGAACCAGCGCGGCGGCGTCCTGCAGCGGCCGCCGTCGTCATCACCATGATCTGGGATCCAAGGCTGGGGTCTTGCAGCGTGTTGGATGCAGTATGCTCCCAGGGACCCAACGTGCTGCAAAATCAAGACGGAGTCTTTCGCCGATGAAAGCTTGTAGGAGCCCTCGCCAAGCCCAGGGACCGACACCGAACTTCTCAGGATGGAAAGCTGATCCTCAGGGGTGGGTCGAGACTTCTGGGGACCACACATGGAGAAAATCACGACATCAGATCTCTGGGCACATGCGATGCCAAGTCCTGCAACAAAGAAATCCAGGGGCACGCTGTTTGTGATGAAGCCTTGAGCTCCCCTGGAGTGCCCCGGGGCTTCTGTGGGCCCACAGGGCCACGGGGGGTGGGACGAAGAGCTGGACCTCCGGGGAAGGCCCCGGGGTCGGGGTCCTGTGCCGTTGTGGATGTCGTCGGACCGAGGGGGGCCCACGCGGTCACACCCCACCCCTGCGCGCGCGTGGCTGGATGGAGTGGTCGGCCTCCAAGGGAGACGCGTGGGGGACGAGGAGGAGGAGGAGGAGGAGGAGGAGGAGGAGGAGGAGGAGGAGGAGGAGGAGGAGGAGGAGGAGGCGGGAGGAGGAGGAGGAGGAGGAGGAGGAGGAGGAGGAGGAGGAGGAGGAGGAGGAGGAGGAGGAGGAGGACTCCCACGGTCGACGCACGGGGCCCGGGGCGCGACTCTCGAGGGCGACACCAAGGGGGCGCCGCCGCGCCCTCGCTCGTCGAAGGGGCCCTGGGACACACGGACGAGCAGGCACAGAGATGACAGGATTCCCCATAGGTTCCAATCTTTTCTGGGTTTTTTCTTCCCCCCACTTCCCATATTTTCCCATATTTTCCTGGGAATGGACGATTAATTGTGTCTGTGTGTTTTCACGCGGTCCCCAGAGTAGACCCCTTCTCTGGGACCGGCCGGTGGGGACGGCGGCCGCAGGGTGGAGGAGCAGGAGAGGCTCGACGCGCGCGGCCTTGCGTGCGCGGGAAGGCCGCGGCCGAAGGTGCAGAACCTCCGATATTTCCCCATATTTTCCTGGGGGTCGACGATTCGTTGTGTCTGTGTGTTGTTTCCTCTCCTGAGAACCTTGTTGAAAATCATCAGGCCTAGAGCTTCCTGGGGTGCCCCGACGCTTCCATGGGTCCCAAGGCCATCTGGGGCACAAGAAGCTTCCGTGGGATACCTGCTGGCAGGCCGGTGTCTTATCTGGCATATGCCTGCTGAGTTCCCTACCTTGAAGGAAGCGGGTCACGATGGAAGCGGACCCTGGACGCGGGGGCCTCTCTCGGCCGCTGCCAGAGCGTCAGAACCGATCAGGGATGACGAACTGGTCATTGGGGAAAGTCCTGGGGTCTAGGATGCGGCTCCACGGCCGCAGCTGCCAATGTCCCTCGTGCTGTCGTTAAGTCGTCTAATTCTGACCGAGTTGCACAAAGCAGCGTATGTCCACTCTTTGCGCCTTCCTGTCGCCCTCCTCCTATCAGCTCGTCCTTCGAACATTTTTCGTTCAAGCCCCCACGCATCACCTACCAGGGAGTCCGCTGCAAGAGAATGCGCAGATACACAATGATGTAATCTGCTCAAGTCTGCGGATCTCACGGCTGAAGCATTGACACCGCGATCGGCTTTCTCGAGTCGAATCGGTCACCGATGCTCTTCGATACTCGATGCTCCTCCTCCTTGATCTTCGATCCTCCTCCCTCTTCCTCCCTCGATCCTCGGTTCTCGATCCTCGACCGATCCAGAATCCACGCTTTTCGGTGTCTTGAGTGCGTCCTGGCCCACCAGGAGCCTCCAGAGCAGAAGCCTCCGACTGATCCTCCATCACGCGAGCGACTTCCGAGCTATCTCAAGAGACCTCTGGGGACCGTTGGCGGCGCGCAAAAGCGGGTAGGGGGGATAACTACTTAGAAACAGGCTGCGTCTTAGAAGGCGCCGGCCTTACATCTATGGACAAGGCCCGCGCCTTCTAGGAAGCAGCAGTGCTTGTAAGGAACCACCCCCCCTACCCCTAACCCCCCTCTCCGCGCGGCCGAGACCGATAGAAGAGGCCCGAAGCACCCAAATGCGGCATGAAGGGAGCCGCAGCGAGGGGCTCTGGCTCACGGGGGAGGGAGGTCGCCCTGGACCCGGCGGGGTCATGGCCGACGGGTCGGCGTCACCTGCCCCAGACTGGCGAGGCCGCAGGCTCCTGGCCTTCCTGCATGCTTCGGAAGCCGGGCGAGGGCTGCTAGATCCCTGGCTGCTGAAATCGACCTCCGGGCAGTTGTCTTCGTCCTTCCGGGAAGAAGCCCGTGGACTGTTTCGCGTGCCGCGCCTCATTCCGGGAACTTGTTTTTTTTCCTTCCGGGAGGGCCGTTTCAGCAGCCACGGTTTTAGCAGCCCTCGCCCAGCTTCCCGCATGCTGCGCACGCGCGACCAGCGGCCCAGCCGAAGGCGCTCTCACGGGCAGCAGTCTTTCGCCGCGGGGCGCAGCTCCACCTGTGGCGCCGGCGGGCCCACGCCGGCGCCGCGCGGCGGCCCCCGCGCCGTGCCGGGCGCCACCCCCGGCGCGGGCGCGGAGCGCGCGCCGGCCGAGGCCTCGCGAGGCCTCGCAGTCTGCACCGCCACGGGCTCGGCCCAGCGCGGCGCCGGGCCCCGGAGCGTCGTCGCGAGCGCGAGGCGGGCGAGGGGCGGCACGGCCACGGGCGCGGCGACGCCGTGTGCCACGGGCGCGGCGCGCACGGCCGGCAAGCTGAGGCTGCGGTGGACGGCTGCGCGGCGGACGGCCTGGCAGGGGCCCGTGCGTTCCAGCTGCAAGGCCTGGTCGGGCCTGCGGCCGCCGGACGCGGGCAGGGAGCTGCTGTGGGAGCCCAGCGAGACGGAGGCCGCCGTGGCAGGGGCGGCGTCCTGCAGGGCCGCGCCTGCGCCGCGCAGGGAAGCCAGCGCCGCCCGCGGGCTCGTGCCGGTGTCCTGCTGGTGCGGGTCCGGTGAGCCGAAGGGCGGCACGCCGCGCAGCTTCATCGATACTGCCGGCGAGCACTCCAGCGTGCGAGCCGGCGTCTGTTGCGCCGAGGAGCTGGACGGCGATGCCTCGCGCCAGCGGGCCGCGAGGAGGTAGCCGTGCAGCGAGTCCGACTCGGCCGTGGCCCGCTGAAGGACAGAGGACGCCGCCGTGGCCATGCCGGCGGAGAGGCGCGCGGACTCCGCCTCGGAGGTGGGCTCCGCTTCGGGCGCCGGGGACGACCTCGCGGCGTGCACCTCGGCCCTCCACGCGGCGCCCTGCGCGGCCGCGGCGCGGTGAGCAGCCGCGCAGGCGGCGGCCTGCGCCGCGGAAACCTCCGAGCCCACGCGCTCCAGCGCGCTCCTCAGCATCGCGTCCGCCTCTGCCTCAGCCCGCGCCTCCAGCCGCGCCAGCGCGGCGGCCCCCGCTTGCAGAGGGGCCTCTGAAGGCGGCGGCTGCATGCTCCCCACCTCCTCTCGGAGGCCGCTCACCTCCGCCTCCAGGGACCGTAGTGTCAGCACTTCCTCCTGGAGGCCCCCGAGCTTACCCTGCAGAGTCTTCGCTATCACCTCCTCGGCTGATAGGCGAGCGAAGATCGCCTCCACCCTGTGGTCGAGCCCGTCGAGCCCGCCCTCCACGGCGGAGATGCGGGCCATTAGGTCGGCCCTGGCGGCGACCCAGGCTGGCTCCTCTGTCCAGGGCGGCCCAGTCAGCTCGCGCGGCGCATGGCAGGCGCGAAGCTGCTGCACCTCCTCGGCCAGCGCGGTGAGCTCCAGCCTGACCTGCCCGAGTCCGACGGTGGCGTGCAGCCGCTGGAGCTCTTGCTCCAGGCCGAGGCGGACGGCCGCGGCCTCACTCGCCCGCTCCACCTCGGCCGCCTTGTGGGTGGCCTCAAGGGCCTCCAGCCGCCCGTGCAGCTGGGCGGTGTCCGCCGCCGTGCGGGCGGCCGCGGCCTCGCCCGCCTGCTCCACCTCGGCCGCCTGATGGGCGGCCTCGAGGGCCTCCAGCCGCCCGTGCAGCCAGGCGGTGTCCACCGCCGTGCGGGCGGCCGCGGCCTCGCCCGCCCGCTCCACCTCGGCCGCCTGATGGGCGGCCTCGAGGGCCTCCAGCCGCCCGTGCAGCTGGGCGGTGTCCGCCGCCGCGCGGACAGCCGCGGCCTCGCCCGCCCGCTCCACCTCGGCCGCCTGATGGGCGGCCTCGAGGGCCTCCAGCCGCCCGTGCAGCTGGGCGGTGTCCGCCGCCGTGGCGCTTCGCAGCTCGCCCAGGGCGCTCCAGAGCGCTTCGAACTCTCCACCCTCGCTGGCGGCCGCTGCGCCTCGCGCTGCGCCGTCGAAGAGGCCCGCGTAGGGGAGCTGGGCCGCCAGCCCAGCGCCGCTGGCGCCGAGGCTCGCCGCAGCACCGACAGAGCCGCCGAGCGAGGCCGTCGCGGAGTCGACGGGCGAGGGCGCGCCGCCGCTGGTGGGGCCAGCGATGGGCTCCGAGGGGAAAAATGGCGCACTGCCCCGCGGCGGGTCGAAGCTCCGTCCCTCGTCCTCGCAGGCAGCCGGAGGCCAGCCCGCTGGCCCTGCGACCAGCGGCTGCGCCTTGATCGTCTGGACCTTCGAGCTCAGCCGCTCCAGCTGGCGCGCAGCCGCCTCCTCCAGCTGCGCCAGCTGCGCGGTGCTCCGGCGCAGCTCGGTCAACTGGCCGCCCCCCGCCGCGGCGAGGGCCCTCCTGGCCTGCTGCTGGGCGGCGTCTCGGGGCGAGGCGGCAAGGGGCGACCGCGCAGGGGCCGCCCACGCGGCCGCGGAGGCGCGGAAGTCTGGCGAAGAGCGGCGCGGCGCGGAGGCCAAGTCGTGGGGCCGCATGACCTCTGCAGCCGGCGGCACCGCCGGCTGCGCCCCTTGACCCAAGACGGCCACGGAAGACTGCAGGCTCCTGGGCAAGATAAGGAGCCCAGGCCCCGATCGGCGATGAATGGGCGGTCAGGGGCCGATGACCCCCTCCCTGAGACAATCCCGCCTTTCGGCGCCCTGAATAATGCTGACCCAGACCTCCAGCGTCTGTTTTGGATGCTGCTTGAATGTTTCGCCCTTGGAAGATGTTCGGGCCCTGGGGCAAGAACAAACACATATCGAGACGAAGAATCGATCCTGGGGATGGGGTCGACAACTCCGAGGACCCACGCCTGAAAACATGTCGGAAATATTAACAGGATGCTGATGGTCACCGTATGGGCCACCATGAACTAGCAACCACAACGACTAGGTCCTCCAGCTCTGCCATGACACACTATAATATTGAATCATGCTTTAACCATTATATGGTGTTGGGTCCTCGGTTTGAAGAGACAACGCCCCGCGTCCTTCCTTCTCCTCCTCCTCCTCCTCCTTCTCCTCCTCCTCCTCCTCCTCCTCCCCCTCCTCCTCCTCTCCTCCTCCCCATCCTCCTCACATCATGTCTCCGCCCTCTTCGCATGTCAGACATGTCGGGACAACCCTCACACGCTTCGTGGCCCCATAGGGAGCCCCCCCGAAGGCCCTAGCGGCAGCGTCCGCATGGCGTTGCCTACCCGCACACCAAATTCGGCACACGCCTCACGCGATTCGTGGCCCAATGGCGAACTCCACCGAATGCCCCAGCGGCAGCGTCCGCATGGCGAACCCGCACCCAATTTCGGCACACGCCTCACACGTTTCGTGGCCTCATGGCGAACTCCACCGAATGCCCCAGCGGCAGCGTCCGCATGGCGCACGCGCACCCAGCTCGGCACAGGCCTCACACGCTTCGTGGCCCCATAGGGAGCTCCACCGAAGGCCCCAGCGGCCGAAGGCCCTCACCTGCACGCGACGGGGCCTTCGCCAAGATCATTCTTTGGAGCCCGTCGTCCACACCGCGCTGCGGTGAACTTTTCTCCCTTGCCCAGAGCTCCCGCCAATGGTCCTGACAGCTCCCAATAATTGGGGTTGTGCTTGCTCTGGTTGTGGGTGTGTGGTTGCATGCAGCGTGAGGGAGATAACAAATAAACGACGTCAATAACCCTCGGGAAGGCGACAGTGGGGAGCACAACGGTTTCCAGACACTCGGGGGGCCTAGATCTGGCCGGACTAAAAGCGTTTCACCCAACAGACCCGAAGATGGTGGCGCTCGTCAAACGTTGATGCAAACGCACGCGTGGTGTGGTCACCTGACCTGGTATAAAAAACTCTGCTGCAGAAAACCGTGTGAACCACCTGTGCTGAACATGGTAGGGCGACGAAAACTCTACACTATCCAACGCCCCCGGCCGAACACATCCTGTGCCAAGAACGGTGTATACGTCCCCCTGGCTTGGCCAAGTGGCGGTGGTTACAGATCGCGTACCTGCTATGGTTATGCTAGCTGTGCACGTTGCGGGGTGGCAGTATGAGCGGCCATATTCGAAATTCGGAATCACACTACAGGTGCTGGTGGTCGCTCTTGTAGAGAAGCTGGTCAACCAACCCAAAGGCCAACAATGATGTACAGTACAGAGAGGGTAAGAGTACTGGGGACACCAGCAGAAGTGCAAACACGTTCAAGCGCATGGAAATCAGATCGTGAACGCGTAGTCCCAGCGATCGTGGTTGCAAAACCATGAAATCAATAACCGCAATGGCAATAGTGGTTCATATGATACTTATGATGGCTATGGTCAGATGGCGGATAACAACATTGGCGCTGCTTCAAATACTCGCACGGGTAGTTGCAACAATCTTGCTAGCACCAATCGTTTTCGTGGTGATCATATGACACACGATCACCCATAGGAGCCGCAGTCGTTGTAACACCAGAGTCGCAGTACACATAGCAATCGCAGCAACACTAGCATTTGACGTAACAAATCCCACCAGCCCTCTGGGCGTAGGTGGTCTAGAACAGATCCTCTTCCACCCCTCCCTCTTCCCCCTTGGGGAGGGGTTTACCCCTCCCCCTACCCCCTCCCCTGGACCTGGACGGGGCGGGCCGCGGGTAGTTAGAGCGTCCCAGATGGCCCAAGACGGCTCCAAGAGCGCCTCAGAGAACCCAAGATGAGCTCCAAGATGGCTCAAGATAGCGCAAGATCGCTCGAGATGGCTCCTAAGATGGTTCCAAGAAGCCCAAAGACGGCCCCAAGATAACTCCAAGTGGCCAAACAGCTCCCCAAGGAGGCCCCGAAGAGGCCAAAATCGTCCCAAAACCTAAGGAAAATCAATGATTTTTGCTTTCTCGCCTTTTCGCTTCCGATGGCCATCCGAGGCCTGGAGATGGCTCCAAGATGGCCCAAGAGGGCCCCAAGAGAGCCCCAAAAGAGCCCCAAGACGGCCCCAAGAGCGCCCAAGAGCACTCCAAGAGCGTTCCAAGAGGGGTCCAAGAGGCGATTTTAGGGGCTTCCGAGGGGGGGCGCTAATTAAACCCCCCCTCTTGTTTGATCGACTCCCTCCAAGATGGCCCCAAAAGCGCCCCGAAGGCTCCCCAGAGCGCCTCAAGAGGGTCCCAAGAGGCGCCCAAGATGCCCCAAGGCGCCCAAAAAGCCCTCCAAGAGGCCCTCAAAAGACCCCCAAGAAGCTCCTTCCCCTCCTCCTCCTCCTCCTCCGATTCTTCCTCCTTCTCCGTCCTCCTCCTCCTCCTCCTCCTCCTCCTCTTCCCCCTCCTCCTCCTCCTCCTCCGACGACGACGACGACGACGACTCCTCTTCCATCCTCCCCCTCTCGGGGTCTGTGACAGCTTCCCCCGCCCTTTGTTATTCTGCATGCTCCCCGACTTCCCTGATCACCTCAACTCCCCTGAGCATCGTTTCTGGATGGGCTGGTGGGGATACGCGAAGCGTCAACAATTCAACTCACAACAATAATATTGGATGAACATGAGCACCCGCTGTCGCTCTAGAATGACCGGCTGCGATCATTCATCCAAGCGGAACCCAACGAACGTCAGTATCCGAGAGGGGAATACTGAAAAGGGGAAGGCATTGGATCTGGGAGGCAAAGGGACATATGGGGATGGAGGAGATCCATCCATATCTGCTGGAAAGA